CCTGTTTTGTTTTCAGTGGCCCTGTAGTACAGTTTGATATCAGGTATTGTGATACCTCCAAGTTTGTTCTTTTTCAAGATTGCTGTGGCTATTCAGGGTCTTTTTTGGTTCCACATAAATATTTAAAGTATTTGTTCTAGATCTGTGAAATATGCCCTTGGTATTTTAATAGGGAGTGTGTTGAATCTACAGATTGCTTTGGGTAGTATGGACATTTTAATGATGTTAATTCTTTCAATTCAAGAATGGGGTATACACTTCCATTTATGTGTATCTTCCTCAGTTTCTTTCTTCAGTGTTCTATAGTTTTCCAAGTACATGTCTTTTACTTCCTTGGTTAAATTTATTTCCAGGTATTTGTTGTTTTTTTGCTGCTATAATAAATGGGATTCTTTTTCTTAGTTTCTCCTTCTGCTTGTTCATTGTTGGTGTACAAAAATGCCATCAATTTCTGAATATTGACTTTGTACCCTGCTACTTTGCCAAATTCCCTTATTAGGTCAAGTAGTTTTTTGGTATAGCCTACATGGTTTTCTGTGTACACCATCATGTTGTCTGCAAATAAAGACACTTTCTCCCTTCTCCTTTCCAATCTGGATGCCTTTTATTTCTTCTTCTTGTCTGATCGCTGTGGCTAGGACCTCCAGCACTATGTTGAATCAGAGTGGTGAAAGTGAACACCCTTGTCTTCTTCCTGATCTTAAGGGAACTGTGTTTAGCTTTCCCCACTGAGTATGATGTTGGCAGGAGGTTTTTCATATATGCCCTTTATGTTCCCTCTATTCCCACTTTGCTGAGTGTTTTTGTCATAAATGGGTACTGCGTTTTATCAAATGCTTTTTCTGCATCTACTGATATGATTATGTGACTTTTGTCTTTCATTTTGTTTATGTGATATATCACATGTATTGATTTGTGAATATTATATCATCCTTGTATCCCTGGAATAAATCCCACTTGATTATGGTGTATGATCTTTTAAATGTACTGTTGGGTTCAGTTTGCTAGTATTTTGTTGAGAATTTTGGCATCTATGTTCATCAGAGATATTGACCTGTAATTTTCTTTTTTTTGGTTGTGTCTTTACCTGGTTTTGGGATCAGGATAATACTGGTCTCATAAAAAGAGTTTGAGAGTCTTCCCTCTTCCTGAATTTTTTGGAACACTTTGAGAAGGACAGGTGTTAGCTCCTCTTTGAATGTTTGGTAAAATTCGCCTGTGAAGCCATCTGGACTAGGGCTTTTTGTGTCAGTGGTTTTTTGAGTACTGCTTCAATTTTGCTAGTTGTTATTGATCTAATCAGGTTTCCTGCTTTTTCCTGATTCAGTTTTGGGAAATTGTATGTTTCTGGAAATGTATCCATTTCACCCATGTTGTCTAATTTCTTGGCATATAGTAATGGTTCATAGTAAACCACAGGCCCGTGCTCCACAGGCCCACGCTCTGGCTCCTTGCAACCTCTCTGACCCTATGTCTTCTTTTCACTCACTGTGCTCTAGCCATGCTGGCCTTTTTGCTGTTTCTAAACAAGGCAAGGCACACTTCCACATCAGGGCCTTTGTAACTGCTGTTCCTTCTGCCTGCAGTACTCCTCCCCTATGCTGAAGTTATCTTAGTAGTTTAAAACAAATGATTAACTCTCACAAGTCTGTCAGTTAACTAGATGGCTCTTTAGTTGGTTTCCACTGGCTCAACTGTGAACCTGCAATCAGCTGGCAGTGTGGCTGCGTGGAGGAGGGACCTAAGATACCTCTCTTACACATCTCAGACCTTGGTGCTAGCCATTGGATGGCTCTCTTTCTCTCTGCTCACGGTCTCCCATAATGCGTTATTTTAACCCAGGTTTCTTTGCATGGTACAAGAAGTACTCCAAAAGGTCAAAGAGTCATCTGAGGTCTAGGATTTGAAACTCAGTGTCTTCTTTGGCACTTGATCAAAATGAGTTATAAGGCCAACCCGGGTTTAAGGCCATAAGAAAATAAACTCCACATTTTTATGGAACAAGCTGCAAAATTTTGTGGATTCAATATATCACACCCCAGATATTTGCATGCCTCAGTCCCTTCATATGTTTGTTCAAATATCACTTTGTCAGTGACACCATGATTCCATGTTAAGTAACTACCCTCCCCTCATCTTGGCACTTAACTATTCCACACTTTATTTTAGCACCCAATACCACCTGACATTGTATATTTACTTGTTTGTTTATTATTGTCTCCTTTCCTATATAGTGTAAGTCCATAAAGGTAGAAACTTTTTCTGTTTGGTTCACTACTAGGTCCCTGGCACACTGAACACTGCCTTATATATAGTAGGTACTCAATCAATATGTATTGAATTAATTATCTTACTCAAATGGTTAAAATAATAAAGAATCTGAAATAACTCAAAAAGGATAACAAATTTTACACATTTAAATGTTAGTGATTTCATATATTTTCCTTGGATTTATTCTGGGATTTTGAACAAAACATTTTATTAAGCTTCGTATGTCCATCAATAAAGACTTTAGCCATGTCTGTTTCTTGGACACAATGAGGATGGTTTAAGCCAACACTTGAAACTAGTCATGCATAAAAAGTTTCCGCAGGGCCTGGAATGTGCATGATCTTGGTAGCTTTCCAGCTTGGCATTAAATGTTTCCAGAAATGCAATATTTAACTGTGTAATAATAATATTATTATTATTTTACTTTTTATGTAAGATACCTATGATTAATCGTGTTATCCACCCAAGTTTTGCCAAGGCTAGTGCCTGTTAAATTTCTTTACCATTTCTTCGGTAGAATGTAAAAAAGGTTTTTTAAAAAGTCATCATGATAGGTTATATTAAATATGAATTTAACTGAGAAAAATTCTAGATTGAAAACACATAAGACAACAGCTTATCAGACATATACATGTATACAAAAATTCTCTGACCCCATTCCTAAACCCACTCAATATAAATGGAATAAAATGAGTGAATGTTACAGAGAGGAGAAGACACACACTAGTGGGACATTAATACTGGAAACACTGTCACCACCCCAATAAACTAAAGGTACTATTATTAGACCTAAACTATTTTTACTGCTAATGTGGGCAATAGGATTACTTACCTATTAAAAAGCTGACTCACTATGTTCTGTACTAGAATAATAAAACCTGAGGAAATAATGTAAATGAGTCAGCTAGTTACGGACAAAAGAATCTTTTCTCACAGAGAAACTGGGGGTGTAAAGGTTAGGATAGGAAGGAGACTAACTTTTTACTTTATATTCTTTTGTGTTTTTTTTTAAAGCACATACGTGTAGTAGCCCTAAACAAAAAGTTTTTTTTTAAAAAACCATACAATAGAAAAGAAATTAACTTCCTCTATGGCTCTGCAAGGAGCAAATAAATATGAAAGGAAGTGTTCATAAATAGCATTTTATATAGATTATGGTACACAGCCCAAGGAAAAATTAGAATAAAATAATTCACACTTCATGTGCATATGCTTGTGTTCATGTATCTGTATTCTACAGCTCACGTGGAAACCACTGCCTCTCTGCCACACTGACAAGACAGGACATCATCTAATTGCAGAAGACAGTGTGATCTAATAATATGCTATTTTAGGCAGAAGAAAGCTCAAAACAAACACAAAAGACTTGCTGACTTAAGACAAGTTTTTTAAAAACAAGTAAATAAATGTTTTGTTATTTTTAAAGTGACTAAATTCCTCTTAGGCTTCATCTTACTTATACCACATGAATTTAGAGATAAGGTTCAAGCAATTACCCACATTACTTTTTTACTCAAGCATTGTCGATAAACTATTACCATTGTTTCTGATATGCTTTCTCCTCAGATCTCGTCCATGTACCTAAGTTAAATTCTGACTCTAAGCAGTTACAGTGGTGAACACGCTTTAATGCAGTCAATTGTCACTAGCTAAAACTGTCGCATTAGTCAAAACCTAAACATTAAAGGTTTCTCTCATGCCACTGAGAAAAGTCTAGGTAGTACTGGTTTGACTCAGCATTAGAAACATTCTCACTCAGGGAAAGGAATTGTTCTCTTCTGCATTAGATAGAAATTTTGCTATTATAAAAATGTGATGAGGCAAACAGCTGCAAGAAAAAAAGAAGATATACATTTGGAGTTCTAATGGTAGTGACTAGGAAGGTATGAATAAAAAAAGCCAAAAAACTCAGTTTCTGGACTGAGCATTTCCAAGAGCTCATTGTATGGCCTTGCTCAACTTAGTCCTAATCCTCTAGGACTAATATTTTCATGTGAAAAAAAAAGAGGGAAATAAGACAAGATTTTTAAGGTTCTACCAAGTTAAAAAAAAACATACAGTTTTGCATTAGACTGAGAAAGTCTTCTAAGAATTATTCCAACAATGTAGTGGCATGTGTGATCAAAGATAATGTATATCTGGACAAGACTGTTCATTAACATCATTATTTGTATTAGCAAAAGGCCTGTGGAAAAATAATTTAATGTTCAGTGGAAAGCTAGTTAAAGAAATTATAGAGTATCTATACAATGGAATACTATGATAAGCCATTTAAAAGACTGGGGAACTAATATGGAACAATATCCAAAACACATGGTTATGTAAATAAAGTACTGCACAGAATGGTGTAACAGTGTTTTCATCCTGGTTTTTAAAAAGGGGGATAATGACATACAAATACACAGATATGTATGTATATGAATAATATGTGCACATATACATATTTAAACACCTACACACATACATTTTTATTTATTCTAAGAATATTTGTAATGGATACACAAAAAACTGATAGTTGTTACTCTGGGAAGAAAACTAGCAGTTTAAGGCAGAAGAAAAATTGCTTTTACTGTCTGATTTTATCACATGTAACTATTTTACTAAATAAAGAAAAACACAAAATTTTTATTTAAAAACTTGTATTTCCCACCCTTTAAGTTATCCAAAACACCTTATTTACCAAATATGTGTCTTCTCTGATGAAATATTAATATTTTATGCATAATTACCTTGAAAAGTCTAGGAAACACATCTGCTGGTTGTCCCCGAATCACAAACAGACGAGAGTTTAATTTTCGCAGATTAGCATCAAGGTCTTCAAGACATTGAAGCAAAAATCTAGAGAGACAATATTATTAAAATTATTAAATATATATATAGAATATACAAAATATTGCAAAATCATATTATTCTAAAAGTTAAAATGCCAACTCCATCATCTAATTACATCTTATCATCTTATTACTTTTAACTGACATATAAATTGGTTTCCAGAAGGAATACATATAATTTTTTAAAATTACAGCACAAGTTTCTTACTATTTTATTTTATTATTTTTTAATATATTTTATTGATTATGCTATTACAGTTGTCCTATTTCCCCTCCTTATTCTCCCCTACACTGCACACCCCCTCCCACCTGCATTCCCCCTCTTTAGTTCATGTCCATGGGTTGTACATACAAGTTCTTTGGCTTCTACACTTCCTACACTATTCATACCCTCCCCCTGTCTATTTTCCACCTACTATTTATGCTACATATTCTCTATATCTTTTTCCCCTCTCTCCCCCTCCCTTTCCCCCACTGATAACCCTCCATGTGATCTCTATTTCTGTGATTCTGTTCCTGTTTTAATTGTTTGGTTAGTTTGTTGTTTTTTTTTTAGGTTTGGTTGTTAATAGCTGTGAGTTTGTTGTCATTTTACTGTTCATATTTTTGATCTTCTTTTTCTTAGATAAGTCCCTTTAACATTTCATAAAATAAGAGCAGGGTGATGAACTCCTTTAACTTGACCTTATCTGAGAAGCACTTTATCTGCCCTTCCATTCTAAATGATAGCTTTGCTAGGTAAAGTAATCTTGGATGTAGGTCCTTGCCTTTTGTGACTTTGAATACATCTTTCCCTCCCCTTCTTGCCTGCAAGGTTTGAGAAATCAGCTGATAGTCTTATGGGAACTCCTTTGTAGGTAACTGTCTCCTTTTCTCTTGCTGCTTTTAAGATTATTTCCTTATCTTTCATCTTGGCTAATGTAATTATGATGTGCCTTGGTGTTTTCCTCCTTGGGTCCAACTTTTTTGGGACTCTCTGGGCTTCCTGAAAGTCTATTCCCTGTACCAGATTGGGGAAGTTCTCCTTCATTATCTCTTCAAATAAGTTTTCAATTTGTTGCTCTTCCTCTTCTCCTTCTAGTACCCCTATGATTCTGATGTTGGAACGTTTAAAGATGTTGGAACATTTAAAGATGTCGGAACGTTTAAAGATGTCCTGGAGGTTCCTAAGCCTCTCCTCATTTTTTTGAATTCTTGTTTCTTCACTCTGTTCTGCTTGAATGTTTCTTTCTTCCTTCTGGTCCAAACCATTTATTTGATTCCTGGTTTCCTTCCTGTCACTGTTGGTTCCCTGTGTATTTTTCTTTATTTCACTGTTCACAGCCTTCACTTTTTCCTCTATTTTGTGACCATATTCTATCAATTCTGTGAGCATCCTGATTACCAGTGTTTGAACTGTACATCTGATAGGTTGGCTATCTCTTCGTCGCTTAGTTGTATTTTTTCTGAAGCTTTGATCTATTCTTTCATTTGAGCCATTTTTTTTTTTTTGTCTTGGTGCACCTGTTATGTAGTAAGGGGTGGAGCCTTAGATGTTCACCAGGGTGGGGCAACCTACGTCAACGCATTGTAACGCTGTACGTGGGGGAGGGTCCAAGAGGGAACAATGGCGCTTGCTCTGCTCTCTGACAGTTTTCAGCCACTTTCCCGCTCCCCACAATCAAATTAAGCCTTTCTGGTTCTGATTCCTGGGCGGGTGGGTTTGTGTACACACTAGGACCCTGCAGGTCTCTCCAACGAGCTCTCCTATGAGGCTGGGAGTTTCTCCCACTGCCACCTCAACCCCCACAGGTGTTTTCAGTCAGAGACTTTGAGGCTTTATTTCCCTGCACTGGGGCCCTGGGTTGTTTGGTCCATCTCGCTCCCCGTTGTTCCTCCTCGTTTATCTGAGCAAAAATGTAGGACCACCTGGTCCACCAGCTGCTGCCTCCATCTTGAGTCCTCTCCACCTGGCTGCCCATGTCCACCCCTCCTACCAGTCTGGGTGAGTGTTTCTTCTTTAACTCCTTGGTTGTTGGACTTCCATACGGCTTGATTTCCTGTCAGTTCTGGTTGTTTTTTGTTTTTAAATTTGTTGTTGTCCTTTTGGTTGTGCAAAGGAGGCACAGTGTGTCCACCTACGCCTCCATCTTGTCCAGAAGTCAGTTTCTTAGTATTTTAATAAAGTTCCTAAATTAAATCAGTAAGTTTCATTAAATAATAGTATTCGCAAAAGTTTAATTTGTAAATATAAAAATTATATAAATAAAATATAGATCTCATAGTGTAAACGATGAAATGAATTCACGTTCTTACTGAAAAACCAACGTCAAAAACCTACAGCATTTTCTACCGGGAAAAAAAAAAGGAAACATCCTACTTAATCACTCTAAGCAAATGAGTAATTTAAGAATGTGAGCATGTTATTGGAGGATATTATCACATTGTATGTGGGAAATGTATTTATACGTTTTACGTTGACTGGTAGTAGAGCGTACGATAAAAACTACTCGCAAACAATGTGTTATAATTGTCTAAGAGAGAGACAACAATGCTCATTTTCTTTCTTTTTTATAAGACAGTACTTTTAATTTAAAAAAATTTATTAAATACTTTTGAATTTATTGTTGTTCAAGTACAGTTTTCTGCCTTTTCCCTCCACCTCTCTCCCGCACCCCAGCCATCCTCACCTCCCTCCCCCGTTTCCACCCCCCCTTGTTTTTGTCCATGTGTCCTTTATAGTTGTAAACCTTTCAGCCCTTTCCCCTCATTATCCCCTCCTATCTCCTCTCTGGTTACATGTCGGTTTGTTCTTAATTTCAATGTCTCTGGTTATATTTTCCTTGCTTGTTTTGTTGATTAGGTTTCAGTTAAGGGTAAGATCATGTGATATTTGTCTTTTACTTCCTGGCTTATTTCACTCAGCATAATGCTCTCCAGGTCCATCCACGCTGTCACAAAAGGCAGGAGCCCCTTCTTTCTTTCTGTTGCGTAGAATTCCATTGTGTAAATGTACCGTAGTTTTTTGATCCACTCATTTACTGATGGGACTTAGGTTGCTTCCAGCACTTGGCTACTGTAAATTGTACTGCTCTGAACATTGGGGTGCATAGGTTCTTTTGAATTGGTGTTTTAGGGCTCTTATGATATAATCCTAGCAGTGGAATTGCCAGGTCAAAAGGCAGTTCCATTTTTAGTTTTCTGAGGAAATTCCATACTGTTTTCCATAGTGGCTGCACCAGTCTGCATTCCCACCAACAGTGCACTAGGGTTCCCTTTTCTCCAAATCTCTCCAACACTTGTTTGTTGATTTGTTTATGATGGCCATTCTGACCGGTGTGAAGTGGTATCTCATTGTGGCTTTAATTTGCATCTCTCTGATGGCTACTGATACTCAGCATGTTTTCATATGTCTCTGGACCCTCTGTATGTCTTCCTTGGAGAAGTGTCTGTTCAAGTCCTTTGACCATTTTTTAATTGGGTTGTTTGTCTTTTTAGAGTGGAGTCATGTGAGTTCTTTATATATTTTGGAGATCAGACCCTTGTCTGAGGGATCACAATGCTCATTTTCAAGCTTCTAATCTAATTAGAGAAAAAACAACTGATACAGATGTCAAATAATGTGGCATTAGCTATGTGTGTAGAGTATGCCAGACTGATTGTTTTCAAAAAGATTTCATGAGCCCTGGCTACATGGCTCAATTGGTTGGAGTGTCATTTGGTGCACCAAAAGGTTGCAGATTCAATCCCCTGTCAGGGCACATACCTAGGTTGTGGGTTTGATCCCCAGTTGGAATGCCTATGGAATTTTTTTAAAAAAGATTTCATGAGGTAGGTGGGGCTACAGATTTTTTTCAATGAAATAAATACCAACAAGGCTTACACATGATAGATATCTGGGGAAATTCTGGGGCAGTACCAGAAGACTTACTGTGCATCTTTTATTGTGAATAAATGGAGCAGCCAGTTACCAAGAACAAATCTGAAAGAGATGTCACCCCTGGAAGGTTCAACCTCATCATTTGCCTCATGGTAATTTTCTGTAACATTTCATCTAGATTCTGTTCTTCTCAGCTGGAAATACCTTATTTTCTCTCTACTTAGCTTAAGTTTTTGATCTTAAGGTGAATATTTATCTGCTCTTCCACAGGGCATGTGTTCTTAAGAATAGTGATTGTGTCTTACTCATGAGAAGGAGTGTTAAGATGAATGGAAAGGCATAGTTCAGAATTACATTGTCTGGTATGGTAGTAGTCACTTGACACATGCAGCCATTTAAATGAATTAATATTAAAAAATATAGTTCTTCAGTCACACTTGCCACATTTCAAGGCCTCTCAACAGCCACATATGTGGCTAATAGCTATCATTTTGGACAGCACAGGTGAAGATCATTTCCATCAATGCATGAAGTTCTATTGGACAGAGTTGTTTCAGAATCTTGTTCTGTCCAGATCATTTTGTTCTCTTTGCCCATTCTGATCCCATCATTTTACCAAGAAATTCCTGTTAATTTGTTATAAATGTAAGTATTGGTGACTTTGGTAACCTTCCTAACCTAGTCAAGTTTGATATTCTTTCCCTTTTAGGAATCATGATCTCTGTGGGCTTGGGAGGTCACAGTGCTGTCTGCAGGAGGATGTTAAAGACATTCCATTATGTCATCTTAGGTAGTCTCACAGTCATTCTTAAGCAAAAAGAAACACATGTCCATATCCTCACATTTACATTTCACCACATCCCTTTTCTGTCTTGGTTTAGTTACCTCCCTAACACACTCCACCCCATCACTACCAATGTGCAAATACTTTGGGGGAAAAGATCGCTGTTGTTATACAATGTACAATAAAAGTACATGAGTTTTGTAAAATTACCTGTAACTATAAATAGCTTATAGTGTTTGGTGATAAGTGTTTATTGGGAAACAACTAGCTTTATGTATTTGCTTGGCAAAAGACTTTTTAGACACTAGTAGTCAGATCAAAAATTAAAGTTGCATGAACCAGCAATTTTAAGTTTCTTACATCT